AGGAAATCAGTACACATGTTAGCTTCCCTAAACACATGTCGAAGTTGAACATTTAAGACTAGTGCAAGCAACATCTTTCATTGGATATATAAACTTCAACACTCAAAAGAGTGCACCATTACAGATAGTGTTTTAGACATGAGGTACGACTTCACCATTAGATACGAAAACAGATAATCAAAGAAGTTTAAAGAAACAGATTTAGTGTACAGACAGAATTAGGAGAATACTTCACTATGTGAATATCAAAGTACAAACAAACATCTAGAATTTTTTTTTTCACCATATCTTCAGTAGAAGCTCTGTTCACCAAATCTTATATCAAAACTCATAACCCATATAATTCTACTGCCATTGGGATCAAAACGGTAGATGATTGAAATGTAGCAGCCATTGTCATGTAGCAAGTCTCTAGAGCATAATCAAAGTGCAGAAAAGCAAAGTCTAGTTAGCTCCTTGATATATCAGAGAAGTTGATAATCCTGCATGACGAATGGTAAAACTGCGTTCAAATGATTTAACTTTTCTATTGAGCTGATAAAATAAACTAATTTGTAAACAAAGCTATCATTTAGAGTACTTCACCTACCTCCTATTGAAGATGTTGCCATCCAGAACAAAATATTGAGCCTCTAGCACAAAATTGCTCATCCTAAGTAGATGATACATGAAAGCAAGAAAGTACCAATCAGACTGATTGTTTATTTATGATTCTCAAAGCCAAACTACATAGTCGACAACAAAAACATTTCTTGAGGTTTTCCAGTGACATACCTTTAACTATCTCTCTGAAAGAATGTGGTTTACGCTAATTGGAAATGAGGCTGTGATACTCAAGTAAGGGACCGTCTACTGACAACTGAAGTTTGCACAGCTGCAGCTAGAGCTGAAGAAACAGAAATTAATATCAAATAATCAGCGAAGAAGATAACAAACAAACAACAATGAACTTTATGATAAACTGTAAAAGTCATAAGTGGAGCAAATAACAAAAGCATATTCATTTTGGATGAATTTTAAGTTGAGAATTACTTCTACACTAACAGACCTTTATCAAAGTCCATAAGCTACTTTGCATCTGCTATTCCTCCTTAACTTACTTCTAAAAGGCCTTGTGGCTTAATGAATGAGATACTGAACAGTGAACAACTACAATAAACAAAATTAATTCTCATACAAATAAAATGTATGATAGTACTCAGTTGGAAAGACTATATATGCTCAAATGTAAAGCACTAATGCTTAAATAAGACTTTTAAGTGATCTAGAAGGCATACTTGATACAATTTTGCTTTGTCAAGTGACTTCCTAATGAAAAGAATATAATCTATTACCACTTAAGGTTCCATGCCTGCACATGAAAAAAGAAATATATTAACGGAAAAAAAAGTACCATATGTACTGATCATGAAAAGTTACAGTGGAAAATATAAGATAAGGAAAGATATTTAAGAACAGAAAATTGATGATAGACAATCCCCCCAAGTATGAAAGTAGAAGCAGTTAATTAGGAGACCTAATGCTCAATGGTATTAATTGTCTTATAAGAACATATTTTGCAATGTAAATGATGAAACTGCTAAATTCTGGAAACTAATGTAAACTATTAATATTCTTCATTAACTTCAAATCAAAGATCCAAAATAACAGACATGACTGATAAAAAAAAAAAATTACATATATTAAAGAAGTGACATGAGTTGCAAATATTTATGGAGTGACAATTGATGGCTAAGTTTTGAGAAAATGGTGAGTTCTTAAGAATCTAAACTTAAAAGTCATGTATGACATAATTCCTTCTTCTGCTTCAATTTACAGAGTGACACTGAGTTTAAGGCTAAGTTCTGCAAAATTGATAAAATGGAGATAGGATGAGAGAGAGTATGATAACTAAAAACACCATCAAATGAAGAATGCAATAGATTTCATGTGCTGGTAATTTAAAATAGTTCTAACCTGTACTCATCTCTAAGTATGTGAAATCAATAGATCCATGTTTGGATAATTGGATCATTCTCACATAAGCTGGTCTAGAAAAAGGGAGCGGAATAAGAGTTGTTGTATGGTCAATTGTTGACATCTTTGATGAAACATGAATTCAACATTTTCAGAAAACAGAAAAAGAGATTACCTAGAAGTATTACTCATGTATTGCCCTGCAAAAAAATGGAACTTCCAGGGACTACCATATAAATTGACAAATTTGATTTCAGGTGTTGCTTTGAAGTCTGAATTGATGAAAAGATAAATGTGCTTACTAATATGGTGATGGTGAGGATAAACTTAGTGATGGATGGGAAGTTTTTACAGAAGTTGAGGTTTAATAAAATATACCTGAGATGTTCAATCTTCTTAGAATTGGATGCACTTGGTCTACTTGGATATTGGAATGTGAGGAACTTTGAATCAATCAGTACCTCTTGGCATTGGATGGCCCTAGGAGAAGGCAAATATTTCAAATTATGGACAGAAATTGAATATCTGAATAGAGATCAAGTTTACAACTATGCCAAAGCTTCCAATTGATAAAACTCTCTATAATCAGAGAGTCCATAAGCTACGCTACATTCACTCTTCTCTTTATGTACAAAATGCCATATAGCACAAGGAATGTGATACTAATCATGAGCACCTACAAGCATTCTTTCTATCAAAATTTTCAAGAAAAACACTTAATCCAATTGCATAGACTATACATGCTTGTAAAGACATAATACTTAATACACATATGATCTAGAAGGCACACTTGAATAATATTTTACATTTCAAGAAGCTTCCTCCCTTCTCCCTGCTACTTCTCCATGGTGTGAAATAAACAGTACCTAAGGTTCTTCAAATGCTCAAATCCAAGGTACATGATAACTCCATTACTGCATAACCAGCAACTAATTCTAGGACAAATGAATTAATGAAATAAAATTTATTACAGTGTAACTTGTTTATTTCATTTATGAAAAATGAATTTATCTTTTTGAGAAAACCCAAAAGAGGATACCTAAAGGAATCCCTTACGCACTGCAAACATTGGAACAACTTGGGTTTACCTTATGGATTGACAAATTTAATTACTGATGCTGCTTAAGAGTTAGATTTCATAAAAGTTACAAATGCTTAATGACAGGGTAAAGATAGGCTTAGTGATGGGAAGTTTTTAAGGAAGAAGAGGTGTTGAGGGTTAGAAAATATACCCGAGAAGCTCAATATTCTTGGAATGGGATGCACTCGTTCTACTTGAATATTGGAATGCAAGAAACTTCTAATCAGTCAGAGTCCCTCTTGGCATTGCATGGCTCCAGTAGAAGGCAATTATTACAGATTTTGAGTAGAAATGTGGTCTTCCAATGATGAACAAGTTCTCCAACAATTGTGTCAAAGCTTCCCCTTCATAGAACTCTCTTATAATCAAAATCCTTAATATTCAAGATGCTGCTGCTCAAAACAATATCATAAAAATAACCAGCAAGAGCTTGCTCATCTTAAGTGCATAGGAATCCCTAGAAAACAACATAAAACCAAGTAAACCTCATTACTTTGATTATTTCCTTATACAATTAATTAAAATAACTGAACACCACATTTCACAAGGTTGTAAAGTTAACCAATATTAATCAAAGTTTAGTTTTTGCAGTAAAACAGGAAAAATCAAATAATTAGTATAGTAATAGACTACAAAAAACTATCTTTTACAATGAAAAATTAGAAGCAGGGGACAAGAATCATATTCATTTGAATTGCTTAAGGAATGAGAAAATTATACTTAATTATATATTTATGAAAGCTAGAAGCTACGCTGCATCTGATGCTGCCATAAATAGATTGCTTCAAATAATTTAGGACCCTACTCCTACTGGATACTTACACTAACAAGTTGTATGATAAAAATTTTGAAGCTAGTTCATAAAACCCAACTCAAAGCCCTTGCTACAAGTTCTAAGAACTTACTAGATTGATGAGGATTTCTTAGGCACCTGTAAACCAGTGACCTATGCATATATATGTATACAAAGATGCAGACTCAATGGTGGACAAACACTTCCAGTAGACTCAACATGTACGTACATAAATAGTTCGAGAAAACCACCCATTTTCAATTCTTCCAAACCATAGGAATCATTTATTATACATTGTGAATAATGAGAAATTCCTACCCTTGTTTGGTTTGTGGGGAATGGAGGCGCCAAAACGTCCTTCCATTTCCGTCCCTCTTGCTTGCTTTTTCCCTTTTTCATTAAGTTATACTAAAATTATAAAGGAAATTAAAGGTAAATCCTCCCTCCCATTCCCTCCCCTCCAATTTTTGTTATCCAAATAGGGAATTTTATCCCCTCCCCATAAACCAAACAAGCTTTTAAAAGAATTCTCATATGGAAAAGAGTTGAGAGTAATAAGAAATTACCTTTTAAAGAATTTTGACAAGCATTGTAGGTTAGGAGAATTGAAGCAGCCATAAGTAACCCTCTGAATTGATAAATTTGACTTTTGTTGTTGCTTTTAAGTCTGAATTGATGAAAGAAGCAAAATTAGTAGTGGAATTTATTATAAGGAAGAAGAGAAGTTGAGGATTGAGAAATTTAAATATACCTCAGAAAAAGGGCTCAATGTCCTTGGTATTGGATGCGCTCAAAATCCATTTGGATGTCCTCAAAATCCATTCGGATGATTGGAATGTGAGAAATTTTGAACCATTCAAGGCCAGTTTCCTTTGCACATCTTCCTTTTAGCTCTGGACATTCAAAAATTGTAAGACGCTGCAACTTGGAGAGGCGTTGCATGGCTTGTGCAGAAGGCAGATATTTCAATTTTGTGCAGTTGTCAATATTCAGAGATTGAAGAGATGACAAGCTTCCCAACCACTCTGGCAAAGCTTCCACTTGATTGAAAGTATATATACGCAATTCCCTTAGAGAAGTGAGGTGTTGAATTTGAGGTGGTAGATACGTTAGTTTTTCCCACCCAAACAAGGTTAATTCTTGAAGGGAGGCGTGGAGGTGGTGGATGGAATTGAGATTTGGGAATTCCTCCAACTCTTTTGAGAAACCACCAATTCCCAAACGCTCCAAGCAGACAAGACAGCTGAAGCTCTCCTCCGGAATACTCCTCAAATTTTCACATCTCATAATACATAAATCAACCAGAGAATGCAAATCCTTCAAGTCTTCTGAGATGGAGATCAGATTATGGCAGCCACTTATGATCAATTTTTTAAGAGCAGTGCAGGAGGACGGTCCATTTGTTAGACTCACCACTGAACTGCATCTGGCAATCCGTAACTCTCTTAGAGAGGAAAGCCCATTTACACTTGAAATGGGCCTCAGATCTTCAAATCCAGATAGATCTAACTCTTCTAGGCATGTTAGGGTCCAAATACTTTCCCCAATTGTTTCCAATCTTGGACATGACGAAATGCGTAGTTGTCTGAGAGACGCCGGAAAGGCAAATGATCCATCTCCGATTCTGGTTAATTCAAGGCAATTTTGAATTCGAAGCTGTTGAAGAGATGATAACCCGCTCAGGATTGGAATGAGCCTCAGATCTTCACATCCAGATAGATCTAACTCTTCTAGGCATGTGAGGGTCGAAATACTGTCCCCAATTGTTTCCAATCTTGGACATGACGAAATGCGTAGTTGTCTGAGAGACGCCGGAAAGGCAAATGCTCCATCTCCGATTCTGGTTAATTCAAGGCAATTTTGAATTCGAAGCTGTTGAAGAGATGATAACCCGCTCATGATTGGAATGAGCCTCAGATCTTCACATCCAGATAGATCTAACTCTTCTAGGCATGTGAGGGTCGAAATACTATCCCCAATTGTTTCCAATCTTGGACATGACCAAATGTCTAGTCGTTTGAGGGACTTCGGAAAGGCAAATACTCCATCTCCGATTCTGGTTAATTCAAGGCAATTTTGAATTCGAAGCTGTTGAAGAGATGATAACCCGATCATGATTGGTATGCTTTCCAACTTTTTACATTTTAAGATTTTCAAGTCCACCAAATTGTCGAGCGAAAATGATTCACTCAAACTAGGCTCCATCCATGGAGGACATTTTTCACCTCCATAACATTCTATAGTTAAGTTTCTCAAATTTGGGGGAGGTTTGAGGCCTGCTAACACATCTTCATCATGATTACATTCTTCTGTATTTCTATCTGTCCACTCCAATCTCAACTCATGAAGTCCAATCTTTTCTGAAAGTTTTGCTTTCTCGGCTTCTGAGTAGTTTTCAACCTGCTCTAGATGACATATCCTTAATTCACCTCCAAGTTGGCTTAAGCATCCCAATTCCTCAATTCGACTTCCCTCTTGTAGACCGACAACAAATAACTGCAACGTTTGAAGATCCTTTAGCCTACCAATTTTGAGTGGCACACAACTTTTTCCACTGAAATAAATGTGTCTCAAGCTGACTAAGTTTTCCACCCCTTCTGGCTGTTTTTCAATCAGAAAACAATACATGAACCTCAATGTCTGCAAACTATACAACTCCATAATAAACTGGGGTAGTTCTTTAATTTCAGACCATGAAATGTCTAGATACCTCAAATGCTTCATCTTGCCAATCCAAGTTGGCAATTGCTTAGCATAACCTTCACCACAGCTAAGAATGCGTAACCTTTTGAAGCTATCTGGCATCTTGCAAAACATATAACCTCTGAGAAATAAGGATCGTAGTTTTCCAGCCACCTCTGCTAAATTTGTAGGCACTATTTTCCCAGCATCAACGAGATTCAAATGCCGAACATGTGCAATGTTGCTCTCTGAACCAGCTTTCAAAATAAGTGTTTCAGATTTTGAATTGTAAGTGGCAAGATCATGAATTAAATCATGCATTTTGCATGACTTAATCTTTCCAGTTGAATCTCTTTCTTCCTCTAGAAACAAACAATATGATAAGAAGTCATTGAAATACTTGTTACCAATATCCTCCATAGAACTTCCCTGTGATGGTTGAAGAAAGCCTTCAGCCATCCAAAGTTGAATTAACATTTCCTTTTCAATTTTCCAATCCTGGGGGAAAATGGAACAAAAGGCAAAACATTGCTTCAATGTTGTGTTAGGTAAGCGATCAAAACTCAACTGTAAAACTCGAAGAGTCCATGTCCGCCTATCATCTTCCAGTGAACTCCTTGCATCAAAACTATTGTTAACTGACACCCATTCATCTCTATCCCTTGGATTACTCAGACTAGCCCCAATGACAATGGCAACTAAGGGTACACCTTTACATTTTTTAGCGATCTGCCTTCCAATTGCTTCCAACTCCAGATCAAGCACTGAAGAACCTCCGAATGCTCTCTGCTTTATTATAGACCAACACTCTTCATCTTTTAGTCCTTCAAGATGATACATGTGCTCTCCAAGTGCTCCCATTATAGATGCTACATTTTCACTTCGAGCTGTCACAACCATTCTACTTACTTTATTTTTAGTTATTTCTAACAAACAACCCCTTAAGGCTTCCCACTTCATTCTATCCTCATTCCACACATCATCTAAGATGAGTAGATAGTTTTCATTTTTTAACTCATCTTGTATTTTTCCCACTATGATAGCCTCATTTTCAATTAAACAAACCTCTTTGGTGAGAGATTCTAACATCTCTTTTAGGATTTTTTTGACATCAAAGACTTCAGACACACAAATGAAAATTGTTTTACCAAAATTCCTCACTATTTTCTCATGATTTTGCACTGATTTTGCTAAGGTGGTTTTTCCTAGACCCCCCATACCCACTACAGATATAACAGAAAGGGACTCCTCATTATTTGGATCAATCAACAAGTCAACTATTTTTGACACATCATTCTCTCTTCCTATGACTCTAGGACAATAACCAGACAAGCGGTCTACCATTTGAGGGTTGCTTCTAGGTGCAGGGATAGCATGTCTGGACTGAAGTCCAAATTGGCTGGCCTCCTCATCAATCTCAACTATAGAAGCAATAAGATTCTTGATCTTATTAGCCATCTTGAGACGAAATATGAAAGGATTGGAGAAAGTAAAGAAGAGACAGACCTTCTTCTTCATTTGCTTTTGAATCCATACCTCCTGTTTCAGTCTTTCATAAACAACCTCATCCACAACATCCTCAGCCTCACGAGCCACGTCTCTGAGGTTCTCAAGCCAAAGCTTCACAGCTGAGTCTCCAACTTGCCTTCTGTCTGCATCTTCCAACAGAGCACGGATCATGGTCAACTTGTTGCAAAGTCTTCTGAGCTCTGCCTTCCAACTGACTGCAAGGTTGATTTGCTGAGTAGCAGCTGAAATCACCTTGGATATAGTAGCATCAACAATAGGACCCAAGACAAGATCGCCCATCTTCACTTCAATAGATCTGGGAAAAGTTTGCAAAGTACGCTGGAGAGTTGATAGGGATCTGATGAAATAGATGATGGTATATACATATGGCATAAATATGACATAAGGACCCAAACTTATACAAAATTCGCAATGTTGGATCCAAACTTCAATTGCACTCAATTAAGGTCCCGAACTCTATGAAATTCTCAAATAAGGTCCCAATTGGACGGAAAACTAACTTCCGTCAAATCTAACAAACACCGTTAATGACTTCTTGACGCAGTTTGTCATCGGCTTCCGTGGTGGCGTTGCACCTGCAGGTC